ATAGACTGTTTTGCTGATGACCTAGTCAGCTAGTCAGCAGTTTAGCTGGTATAGTTGGAGCAAACAGGGCGAAATTCAATGAACCATTGGCAGACTGGGTGAACCGAGTGAATCCATGTTGTCCTGCAAGAGTCTGTGTCACGAATGCCTGCACTTCGCTACAAATTGGGTGCTGGTTGGCTGGAGCTCCTCTGTCGCTGATGACAACTGAATCACGGAGAGCCGTACTGGAAAAATAGCACGTCCAAGTGAAAACCGACGGGTACCCAGAAATTTATCTAGTCTATATAAATTACATCATATCTGTGTTTTTGTTTATTGATGTTTATTATTATTTATGTGTGTAGGCCAGTGTTTATATCGGTATCTCTGCAACAACAAAACGAGTAAAACGAACGTACTTTCAGAAGTGCTGGACTGTCTGGACTGTTGGGACAGCCATGTCCAAGGTTTGGCCACCTGGAGCTGTTGGTTCGTGACTGGGTGAACTACGAGGCAGGGATATGTGATCGGTACGACTGGCTGTACGACTGTCTCAAGGCAGTCGGCATAACGCCGTATGGGCCACAAGGTAATGCCAGACTCTAGGATCATTTAGGATCTTTAGGTATCTTTAGGTATCTTTAGGTTGATTGATTGTGTATGTGCTTCTGGAAAATGCGGAAAATGAGGAGCCCAAACTCCAGGTTTCCTCACCAAAATGAACCAATTGCACACAACTTGAAGATTCTGGGGTTCAGAATATTGCGAAATATTCAACTTCCAACCAACCAGCTTTTGCCTCCAAGGATGGTTACAGCCTGGCGCAGTGCAAGGCCTGGATCCCTGGACGCGCTTCCTGTGTGACCCCCCAACAGATGGTGGGTCCGTGCCCGCATTCCACTGGTTTCCGATGGGTCTCCGATGGGTCTCTGATTGTTTCTTACATGACTTACATGTTTTTTGTTTCTAATTTGAGCAAGTTTGGGATGCAAACAGCTGGGAAGTTCCGGCTGGGGTGATAAGAAGGCGATGAGACAGCCTGCGCTCACTCTCTCTCTCTCTCTCTTTCTCTTTCTCTTTCTCTCTCCCTCTCTGTTGCCAGGATGTTGATTTGGCGCTCATTCTTCCTCTGTGGATAGAGATTGAGTCGAAAAGGAACAACCAATCAAATTTGACAAAAAATGAGGTTCCAACACAACGTCAGCACACTGGCAGCACACCTTTTTGCATCCTTTTGATCACACATTCGAAAGGGGAGTTGAACTTATTGATTTCTCCATGCCAAGTGCATGATTTCCACTCTCTAGCGCAGGCTTATTAAGTCTGCCAGGATATTTTTACATTTGTGCAGTCTTGTACTTGACACTGGTATCCCCCCGAAGACCGGGAGCCCTGTTGCCAGAGAACCATTTCCATTTAGTTTCTGAGTCAGGCGGCTTCAATTCGATCAGGTGAAACCGATCTGTTTCAGGCACTTTTTTCTCAACATATGTTTGCTTTTTTAAAACTCTGCATATCCCTGTACATGTTGTAAAATGTTGCAAAAGGAAAAGACCTGGCGAGCCGTCACAGGAGCAGATGCACGAGCACTTAGACGATCACCTCAGCGAGACAAAGGTTCCTGAGGTGCAGCGGTCGATGCTCCACCTCAACAGCCTCAACAGCCTCAACAGCCTCAACAGTCTAGCTCCTATCGCTCTTATCGCTCCTATCCGTCCTATCGGTCCTTGGGTTCCTTGGGTTCCTTGGGTTCCTTGGATTCGTAGACTCAGTCCCCAGTGAACCATCTGTTTTGGACTTCACGATGGGCACTGCAACGGGAAGTGCATCTTTGGGAAGCGCAGCCACTATAAAAACCGATTGAAATGAAACAGGCCACAAAGCGAAACCTTGGGAACAACGGACAATGACCACTGTTTCATAGGATGATGTTAGGCATAGATCCATGGTCACTGTGTGAGATGGCTTTTCTTCGACTTCCTTCTTGTCAAATGCCTGCTAAGTCTTCAACAGGTACCTTTGCTAGTCGTCCTGTTCCGTTGAAATTTGAAACTATTTCAGCGCCTCCAGGACGCCAAACCTAGGGTCAGGGGAACTCAGATGGTTCGACCGTTGAGTGGAACGACTGTGGTGATTCCACCTCCAAGATCGGCAGGTTGGTTTGACAATTTGACAGCTTCGTGACTCAGACTGGCAGGCTCTAAATTCCCCAAATCGGTGAATCTATGCAACGAACCTGGTACTATCCTCGCCAAAAAGATATTTTTTGAGAAATCAACAGTAATAAACTACTTTCAACTTCTAAAATGAATCCCAGTGGTTGTACCAAGCAGACACTTTCACTGACATGATTGGAACCAAGGTCGCACGTTTGAAAAGCACCTTCAGAAGCGGGATGCCCGGAAATGCTGCGGATCGCATTACATTGCAGTACATTACAGTACATGAAATACATTACATCACACTACTGATTGCAGTACTATTGGTTCGCGGCTAGAAACCTCAATTCATGCTGGCCCTGGGAATTCCTGTCAAAGCTTTCGCAAAATCTATGGATCTGGATTTGCATATTTGTAGGACCCCCCAAATCGAGGAACAATAGAGATTTGCTGGCCGAACGTGTCAATATGTCCACCCGTCCACCCAAAGGCTGAGCATGCAACACCTCTGAGGCATTGATGCTTGGGGTCTACCTCACCCTGGCCTCAAAGTGACTAAGTGCAGCGGCCAAGTGGTATAAGGATGAGGCATGTTGCAAAGAGAATTCAGGCATTCTGTGTTCCTCCACGTCAGCCGAATTGTCATGTGGGTGAACATTATTTCTGCAAATTCTATGAGTAGATAACTGCTCTACAGCAATTCTATGGTTGGGACATCCGAGGCCGACATACACTGGTGAGATCAAAGATATCGACACTGACTTCTTGCATTTGCTGGACTGCAATGTCCAAGTGGCTGTAGTCTGTGGAGGCTACTCAGTTGTAGGCAGATAAGATGGCGGTTTTGTGAACTGGGCATGTCTTACTGTAACTGTAAGTCTGAAAATTTGTCGGCCAGGATTGAGAAAACATCCAAATGTAGAATGTTGGAAGGTGAAAGGCAAAATCAAGTGACAAGGGGGAATGCTCAAAATTTCTGACAGGAATCGGAATCGGAATCATTCGGAAATCCGTGGAGTGCTGAAGGGATGGCCAATCGGTGAATATGAATCCAGGTGGCTCTTTTTTTCTCGATACTAAAGGCCCAATCAGGTCTTAACATAAACACATAACTTAAGTCGAAGAACTTAGCAATCCCCGCAACTTCTTGCACTTTCCAACCTGCGGCGGATCATCTATGTGCTACGCAGGACAGATTCTGCGAAGACTTCTTCAGCAGTAGCAAATTTCCGGATCCGTCGGTGGGCGTGGGAACATGCTGGAAAACCATTCATCGGTGGTTGTTGGCCAAGTTTGAGTTGACTTGACCGTTCGTATTTTGGAATGTCGTGCCGATGCATGGGTAGCAGGAGCTTCTAAAGCAGTCGGGGCATGTCGGGACATGTCGGGACATGAGTTGCCTCTGTGGCATGGAGTACCAGCGAACTCTAGCGAGGTTCAGCGAGGTTCAGCGAGGGTTCAGTGAGAGATGCCACAGTGGTTGCAGGCTCCCTTGGGCATCGAAATTACCGCAAAAACTTTCCAGCAGACTGCCAGAGCCCCAAGTCGAAGGGTTTGAGGGGGGATGGGCCAAGGGCCGCTATTGGAGGCATTTTGTGACATCATGTGGCATCTATTCTCATTTTTTTTTGGAAGAAGGGTGGTCTTCGGCAGGGATTGCTTGCCACTCTTGTTTTCAGCTACAACCCCTCAACTTTGGCGGGTCTCGGGTTCGCCAACAAGTCTGTCCCCTTACATGTAGGTGTTTACCATGTGTTCATTAAGGCGATAGTCTCTCACCTGACCATTCCATATGTGTGGATTTCAAAGTTCCGGTTGTTGAGTTGTTGGTTTGGATAGCTGTAGCCTGTTGCAGGAGTCAACAAACCCGCTAACGGGTTTCACGGTTTCACTCGTTGCTTCTCGAGTGCCCTGGACTCCTAACATTTGCGGGCACACCATGGATGTCTGTTTGAGTGAGGACCAGCCTGATGCATAGGGCAGATCATGGCAGATCAATTTGTATTGCTGAGGTCATGAACTTCGCAAAGGCTTCCTGCAGTCGAGGGGCTATGGGAAGTTGGGGGGTTGAGCAGTTGGACAGCCAAAATAGACACCTGGCCAGATTAAACCAACAAAAATGCAGCATTACGCAGCCAACAAATATGACCGATGAGAATCAGTTAAATTGTTTTCTACCCAGCGCTGCGGTGTGTTGGATTTCTTGTGGTTTCATGGCGGTTATGTGATGTTAATAGTAATCTTCATTCCGAATGTCCATCTTCATAGAGAGAAATGTTTTTGTACCATGGCGCAGAGCGAGTCTTCTCTGACACTCTCTTGCACAGAATGGCTCCTGTGCAAGTGTTGATTTGTAGATTTTTGAATCTATTTGTGAAATCTTTGCACTAGACTGTGCAACCTCACCGTCAACCAGGGAATGACCAACCACTGGTTGACGGGAAAGGGTTCATCACCTTGGCTTTTGCTCTCCAGTCATTCAAAGACGAAGCCAACGACATGGCAATCGGCTTAAGGGAGGCCAACGGTCGAAGAGGGTTGTGGGCATTGGCGTACAAGCTCCCTCACATCGTCCACATTGCGTGGTTTATACTATAAATGCTTGAATGGTACAGATGAAATGTTTTTCCCCTTGCATATTGACTGCCACATGATAGTGATGTTTTACAATACCGACTCACAGAACTGGAGGCAACCGCAATCAAGATTATTTTGGCAAAGACATCAAGTTGAATTTGGTGACAATTAGCTGTTGGACAGACTTGTAGAGTGGCTTGGTATCATACAACTCAGCCATTTTGGCTTCACGCATTTCTTCCATTTGCAGCTTCCTCCTTGGTATCCTTCACATCCTTCGCA